TGCACGTTGAATGGAAATAAGAGTCCGCACCCTTGTTGTATGCAGGCTAATCGGATTTATTTCTCTTTTTATATAAAAAAAAAAGGTAGGAAGGAGATAAATAGAGCAACAAACCGTTGCCCACCGGAGTCGGAGCAAGGAGAGGCCTTGACCCACGGCGGCCACAAGCCCCTGCCGGCCCCCCGGCGCTCAGGTTGTGGGAACGCTCTGCTTGATGATGATCTTCTGGCGGGTGGGACGGACGTTGGGATCGGGGCCAGGGGGAGCGGCAGCCCCCAGGGCAGCGGAGGCGGCGGCGCTGGGGAGCCCGTGTGCCGTGATGTATTTCTTGTAGGCCTCCCGGATGATTTTGAAGGCGCGGATGTTGGAGTAGGGGATGTCAGTGATGGGATCGCGGTAAACGGCTGGGTGACGGGGCAGATCTCCCGCACCGGCAGCCGTGGTGGTTTTGCTTTGGGGAAGAAGCGCTCGAAAGTTTCGTCGTCGCTGAAGGAGATGAAGGTGCGAGAGCACTTCCCGGCAGAAGCCGGAGCTGGGGCTGGAGCTGCTTCGGCCTGCTGCGGGTCTTGGTCCAACCTGGGAGAAATGCAGTCAGCACCCAGGAGACCCCCGGGGAGGGGGGAAACCCCATGAGAGCTCCCGTGGTGGGCAGCTCGAGCCACCCCCCAGGACTGGAGCTGTGGGGCTTGGGAGGCTCCAAGCTGCTGCGCAAACCCTGCTTCTCCCTCATCGTGGTGGAACGGAGCCCAAGGAGGGATTGGGCTTGGGAGACTGGGACAGACGGGCCCGGTTGGGTGTGTGTGGGGGCAAAACCACCGGGGCCACGTCGAGGTGACCCCAACCTACCCCTCCACATCCACGTTCTCCTCCTTGCCCGGCTCTGGGACGAGGGGCATGGTGACAGACCAGTACCGGATAACAGGCCCCACGCATTTCCGCTTCTTCTGGACCTGCTTCTTCTTGTCGGCTTCCAGGCGCTCGTAGTTCTCTGGGAAAGCAGAGATAAACCGAAGGGGAGGCTCAGCACCTCACTGACACCCTCATCCCCTCTGTCTGCACTGTTTCAGGGGTCCCTGCGCCCCTTGGCATGGCGCCTGGCTCACCCAGGGAGCGGAGGTTGATCTCCTCCGTGATCTTGGCCTCCTCCAGCAGCTCCTCCTGCGTCAGAG